TACAAAAAATGCAAGGTATTTGTTTTTGTTTTTTCTCGAAATGTATTTATCATAGAGACATGCGGTTTTTTTTAAACAAAAATTACAAAATCATAGAATATTACGTGATTTTCTTCTTTTTTTTTGCGCCGTCATTTTTTAACCAGGGGGCGCCAAAGTCGGTCTTGCAAAAACGATCTCTTTTGCGGTGCCACAGATAAATCCGTTGCGCATCGCCCGAAACAAAAAAAAAAGAAATTACGTTGAAGAAGAAGTTTGTTTCCAGTCTCCCTACCAAAATAAAAGAAAAAAAGCAAGAAAGAAAAAAATAGCAGCTATTTAAAAAAAAAGTGTCAAAAAAGGCCTTTTTTTGGGGCGAGAAGCTTCGCAAAATTTTTTTGCGTAATGTTATCAAGTAATGCAATAATTTAAAAGGATAAAAAGAACAGCACATTTTTAAAAAAGAATGAATACTTTCCAAACAAAATAATCCTAAAAACAAAATATATATATATTGATATCCAAATTGAGATAAAACTAAATTCCTAGGATTAAAATTCATTTACGAGACATTCTTGTTTATTATCTCTCCATTTAATAGTTATTTTGCTATCTAATCAATCATTAACAAAGTTATATTTGACGAAATCTTTGAATAGTTTCTGTATAAGTGTTTTTAAACGTAAGTAACCAAAACCCTGAACTACTTTTAATTTATACCAATTGTAGCTCAAATCTATCTATCGTTTTAATCCAGTTTTTATTGCAAGGATGTTTAGTTAAAACTATAACTAAACCCTTGCGCTTTATAAACTGTCTGGTCTTTGAGTATGCTCTCTTAATTGAGACATTATCAAAATTCTTGCCCTTACATTTTAAGTTTCCGGAATATTTGAAAACTTCTCAGAACATTGTATACTCTGTTGGAATTTATTCTTTAAATTATTGCATTGCATTTTAATCCCGAAACAAAATTTGATGTATCATACATCTTCTGGGTGTTAAGGCACTCCTACGCCTTATCATTGCATTCTGCGGCAATTTACAGCTATCATCAAGGACTTCTATTGAATATATTGTTATATCATATTAATTGAAGATATTGTAATTATCATATTAAATATTTTTGCTGCAATTAGTATGAAAAAATACCTTTTCGGAAAACTGGTGTCAGAATAGGTGACTTTTAACCTGCACTTCACAATCTTAGAGGTGCTGCAAAAATCTTTTTCAAGTTGTTTAGGCTTCCATCTCCTAAGAATATAAGATTCATTTATTAATATTTCTTTGCAAATGTTATTGAAGTATTTAGAGTTATAATTACTTGGCTTTGTCCTTGGAGTTGCAGATTTGTCTTCTGGTTCTGTATCAGAGCATTCTCCAGTGACTTGAGAACTATTTTGTTATTGCCGTAAAGGAGACACTTCTATTTGGTTTCGATTTCAAATTATCGTTGATTTGTGCCACAAACCGAAGAGTTAGGTCATCCCTTAAAAGATTATTCGCCCTCTGCATCCAAATTGAAAGCATCTTTTTACACACAAATTTTTACACACAAATATATATATATATATAATATATATTTACACAAATATATATATATATATATATATATATATATATATAACATTTTAATAGTATTGTGATGATACATATTCATTATATGCATAATACATCATTATATACATACCTGATAATTAGATGCCGGAAAGACGTGCATTTTTTTATTATATTTGGGGTTATAACAATTTGGCACATAACACTTTATCATTTTAACTTAATAATAAATGAAAAAAGTATTCACCAAAACATAATTATATAAAACAATCACAGAAAATCTCAACTACAATACGCGATGACAACTTGACAACTTATAGAAAATGGCCGATCAAATCAATGTAGAGATCAAGCCGCTGCTAGATCAATGAAATTGGAAATCGTAGCGCCATCCTTCGAACTATTCAAATACCAATCCATTTCAAAACACGGTAATCTACATTTGTTCGGAGATTACCGGCCATGCAGCAGAGCATGGCTGCCAATGGCTGCTGTCAAAATAAGTGTCGCTACTGTCGTAACTTAACCTCAAATTTTTATTTTGATATTGCTGTCAAAGTTTTAGCACAAGACAAAAATTGAATAATATATTCGAACGGCAATAAATTTAGGGCTACTAAAATTAGCTTGATTAGGTATAATTATGTAGGAAGCCAAATACTGCAACATTTAAAACCTTTCATATTAATTATATCAACCCTAAGTATGATGTACAATAGAATACCATGATGAATTTTTGAAGTAAAACTTCTTTAGGCGCGACATGGGTGTAAAAACTTCTCTAGGCGCGACATGGGTGTAAATCCGTACAAATGCAACGAAAATGCCAACGTGAAGTTGAAGACTACGACGCTAGTAAGCGCAGCTATCGCAATTATTCGATCTAGTGATTTAGATTTTTGCTCTGCGAGCAAAACAAAAAATACATCAAATGTCAAATCATATGTCAAAAACAAAACAAAATGTGTCGACTTTCACTTGAGTTTTTAGCTCGTAGTCTCTAAACATTTTTTGAAGTAAAACTTCTTTAGGCGCGACATGGGTTAGCAGTATAATTTGTGAGTTAATAAAAATGTCAGGATCGGAAGAATATTTTATCCCGTCCCCCATAAATAATTGTAGTGCAAATGATCGCAAATAAATAATGAAACTAAGGAAAAATCTGCGCTGCGTAAGAAATGATAGCTTTGGCTATGTATGTTTTGTGTGTGATCGACTTTGGCTTCAAAGTGACTTAGAAATATCAAATGATGCTCAAAAACAAATTCTTAATAATGTTTTTTGATCATTGATTCAAATAATCAGGTTGGATGTCAAACTTGTCGAAAGATATTAAATTCGATACATAGATTATGACGAGATCCTGATAATTGATGAAATTCTTGAAATAAAATCACTATCAAATTTTGTAAAGCCTTTAAATGAACATTATTTATTGATGGCATATGAGAAATAATAATTGATAAGGATTCTAAGTATTCTGGTAAGTTTTGTATTGATTTGTGCTGAGTTTCAGATGTATACATAACTTCTGTTTGCTGGATAATGATATTGTATAAAGGAATTATATCATCTTGAGATAATAGTGCTGAACAGCACGAGGAAAATGTTCCAAATCCTCTTATAACTATTCTCAATTCATATGTTTTAATTTTTTCTGTTTGCAATTGTGTCTTGAAGAAATTTATAAAAAACTGTGCAAATACAATATAAATTGCAATTAAAACATAAAAAATTGATGATAAACAAAAATAAATAATAAGTTTTTACCAGTAAAACTTTCAGTTCCTTCTTTATCAATAAAACTTTGGCAATTTGAACGTGAAAAACTTCTATAGCAGGAACAGCAATTGAAATATCCTCCCAAGAGAGTTTTAACCAGCTTTGTAATGTGTTATGCCACCACAAACAATCTTTGTATAGGTGCTCTGATACTAAGTTACCATGCTTTGTTAAAAGGCTCAAAGCAGCTTATGATGAAAGGAAGTTGATTTTTATCATTAATATAAATACATATAAAATAATCAGTTGTTAAGCAGTATAACTTATGGAAATACTTCACCTCTAAAAGCCGGTCGAAATTTTACATCACCGGGATATGACATAGTTTTTATCATATTATATAATCTCAAACATTCTTCTGTATCTATTTCAGGGTCTGGTGCAAATGTGCAAAACATATTTTCAAAAGCTGTTAATATGCCATGAATTATACGTAATTTGGTCTAAAATAGAATCTACATTAAATAAGTTAGAAAAATTTCTTATGGTTTTTATTATAATCTGTTTTGGTTTAATCTTTATCTTGATTTTTGTATCTTACCACAGCAGTAGTTGAACAAGTATAAAACATATTTATTATCATTATAGTAACTCACATTTACAAGATTTTTTGTTTGCGTTTCAAATTGTGAATAAAGTAGCACCTGGACTCTAAAAACATGATCTCGCATTTCACATGGAAAATCTCTGGCCAATATACCAAGTAAAGGAAATAATTGTTCATACACTGTAGAAAATATGTAATTTCAGTGTATTTTTGAAATAAAATTTTTATTATGATAAATTTAGAATAGTAATGATGTGAATCAATTATCATATTAATTATATAATAATTTGTATATAAAATATCATTAGTAAAGTGATAAAATTTGTATTTCTATTTACAAAATAAAACTAATAAAAATTAAATTAAAAATAAAAGTTACCTGAACTAGATAACTTTCCATATTCTAAATGATGGACTACTTGTGCAATAACATAATTAATATCCAATAAATCCACTATTTCCTTATTATTCCGAGAAGTTTCTTAGTACAATATCCTGCAACATAAGCGCTAGCAGTTTTACTGTACAATGACATGTCCTGGAAATGAAACGGCTCTGCATCAATAGACATATTGATCAGAGAGTCAGTTTCCAAGACATCTTCATTATTCAAAAACACTCGAAATGTGGCAAGTAACCCGGTTGTATCATTGACTTCACAATTAGCAGAAGGTGAATGACGAGATGATAAATTGTTGACAAGCAAAGTTCTAAAGGCAGACACAAAAGAGTAACAACTTGGATTAGTATTCGAAGCCCCATGACTCCTTATGCAACCAAAAAAATTCTCCAAGGGATCTTGGTTGAAATTTCTGGTGCATAAGTAACTAAAACCCTGAACTACTTTTAATTTCTGCCAAATGTAGCTCAGACCCTCTATCGTTCTAATCCAATTTTTAATGCAAGGAGGTTTAGTTAAAACTTTAACTAAACCCTTGCTTTTTATGAATTGCATTGAATTCAAAACTAATTTGGCTTCACGCCAAAATATAGTGTGAGCCGGATTTATTTGAAATTGCACATCGAAATTGTTTACCATTCAATGGCAATTTTGATAAACCATTGACACTATCAAATAAGTAGTCCATGAACATCAAAAATTCTCCGGTACCATATGAAGTAACACTTCCAGCTACTACTGGTAACCAGAGTTTTGAAGTCCATGTGCTACCCGTTGAGAAAATACTTGCGCAGCAAGACTGACCTTCATACGTTTCATTTTTGTTTGATCAAGGTGGTGTTCGGTTAATGTAGGACAACGACGAAACATACTTGAAGTAGAATCATGATTGTAATAATCTATGATGTCTTTCCAAGATGCTTCATATTCGACCCCATCTAAACCTATAAATTTAACATTGTACTTAGCAAAATTATTCCGCATACACTTTAACAAATGTGGAGGATCATATAAAGGAACAATCTCATGGCCATCTATTTCAAAAAACAGTTTATTCCAGTGAAGGTTTTTCGTTTTATAATACTCTTCTGTATCATTTAAAAGCATATTAACTGCTTTACAATTTGCCGCATATTGGTCGCAAACTGTGGCAACAACCTTTAAACCAATATTAAATAACTTTTTTGCCACATCAACAATAAGATATTTTAAATCAGAACTATTTACTCCACCTTCGGAAAAGTAGAGAGCAACTGGTTGCTTCCAACGATCCTTTATTCCTTTTATCATGAAAACAAGTGCATGATCCGCAAATAAACTTTTTCTGCCATTCGCTAGTTCTACAAAACCAACAATGTGATCCTTTTTACGATCATATGACAATTCTGAAGATAGTGATATTTCATCAAACATCAAAACACAGTATTTGCTACTCTCATACTTTTTATGAGAAATAGCTGAACTTAATGTATTAAAAAGACACTCATTTATACCGCTATACAAAGGTATCTCTGAAAGCAACTTCCTCAATGTTTGAGGAGATGGCAAAATAAATATTTGTCTCCAAAAGTAGTAAGCCTTTGGAGACTTTTTATACAAACTTAAAGCAAGAATTTTGTCCTCCTCTGTGAATTTTCTTCCTTTCGGTCTTTTAGTATGCTCTCTTAATTGAGACAATATAAAATTTCTTGCCCTTACATTTAGTGTTTCCGGAATATTTGAAAACTTTTCAGAACATCGTATACTTTGTTGCAATTTATCCCTTGAATTATTACATTGTTTGTTAATCCTTCTTACCTCCCGGAACAAAATTTTAGATGTATCATACATTTTACACCTCCTGGGTGTTAAAGCACTTCTACGTTTAATCAGTGAATACTGAAGCAATTTGCAGTTACCTCCTAGGACATCTATTAAATATAATAACATATTATAATATCACAATTGATTAATTAATTATTATTGCTGTAATTAATATGAAAAAATAACTTTGCGGGAAACTGGTGTCAGAATAGGTGACTGTTTTAACACGCACTTGACAATCTTAGGGGTACTGCAAAAATCTTTTCTGAGGTTTTTAGGTCTCCATCTCCTAACTGAAAATATAAGATTAATTTGTAAGTAATTTTCTGCAAAAGTATTAATTATTAAAGTAATTGGTGTTATAATTACTTGTCCTTGTCCTCGGTGTTGAAGATTGTTCTCCTGAACCTAGATCAGAACATTCTTCAGTAATATGAGAACCATTCTGTAATTCCAGAGTTCCATCAAGTTCCATAATGCTCGAAGAAGCTAAAAAAGGAAGCATATTAATATATAAATTATTAGGAAAAAGGATAGAGTATCGGATTTAAATACACAACTACATCATTTTAAATTAATGTCTAAACAACTAAAAACATAAGATTCATTTATCAGTAATTTTCTGCAAATGGTATTAAAGTATTTAGAGTTATAATTACTTGTCCTTGTCCTTGGTGTTGAAGATTGTTCTCCTGAACCTAGATCAGAACATTCTTCAGTAATATGAGAACCATTCTGTAATTCCAGAGTTCCATCAAGTTCCATAATGCTTGAAGAAGCTAAAAAAAGGAAGCATATTAATATATAAATTATTAGGAAAAAGGATAGAGTATCGGATTTAAATACACAACTACATCATTTTAAATTAATGTCTAAACAACTAAAAACATAAGATTCATTTATCAGTAATTTTCTGCAAATGGTATTAAAGTATTTAGAGTTATAATTACTTGTCCTTGTCCTTGGTGTTGAAGATTGTTCTCCTGAACCTAGATCAGAACATTCTTCAGTAATATGAGAACCATTCTGTAATTCCAGAGTTCCATCAAGTTCCATAATGCTTGAAGAAGCTAAAAAAAGGAAGCATATTAATATATAAATTATTAGGAAAAAGGATAGAGTATCGGATTTAAATACACAACTACATCATTTTAAATTAATGTCTAAACAACTAAATGGTATTAAAGTATTTAGAGTTATAATTACTTGTCCTTGTCCTTGGTGTTGAAGATTGTTCTCCTGAACCTAGATCAGAACATTCTTCAGTAATATGAGAACCATTCTGTAATTCCAGAGTTCCATCAAGTTCCATAATGCTCGAAGAAGCTAAAAAAGGAAGCATATTAATGTGTAAATTATTGAAAAAAAGTAGAGTACCTGATTTAAATGAGCAACAATATCATTTAAAATTAATGTCTAAATAACTTGTATTTATCTACCTGAGATGGGATTAATATTCTTTGACAATCGGTATGCTCCTGCCTTCACATTACATTTGCGAATCGACACACCAAGTTCTAAAATAATATAAGTTTTTTAAAATCTAACTATCAAATACATATATAAATTTTATTATTATTCTTACGGAATCGATGTTTATCCAGGAGACAATTCTCTTCTAGGTAAGGATTCCCAACGAATCCTATAAAAACCAAGCAAAATATGAATTGAGCATTTCTATTGAAAACAAATTCATTTATTCATGTATTATAGTAGAAACCTGGCATATTTATGGTTGGTAGGGCATTAATTTTCAAATTTGTCTTCGAACTTGTTGGCAAATTTTCAACTTTACAAACATTTGTAAAGTGCGCGTCACATCCCACATAGCACAAGTGCGAGTCAGGGGCGACCTGTGGTTCGACTTTTAGGTCGATCGGTTAAACTTTGGTCGCACCACATACGTGTATTTAGGTCAATCTTCGCACAGAAATGAACCTAAAGTCCGAACCCGGTTGCGATATTGGTCAACCTTATTGGCATATATTATGGATTGAGAAAAGTTCCATTAGGGGTCAAAATTTGGCACACACATTGAAAATATTTTGATAATAGGTCAAAAATTTGGTAAATGGGTTGAACACCGTTCCATCGAATTTGGCAAATGGGTTAAAAATGGAACGTGAATAATTTTTTTTTTAATGAATTAAATCTGAAATGAATAGTTAATGAATTAAAAATGCAATTCTAGATTAAAATAACATTTATTTTCATGAAAAAAAAATCGAAACATTTTACTGTAATATTTTATCAAAATGATATTATATGAAAATCTTACAATATACAAGTATATAATAAACTTAAACAAAATAATTCAATGAAAAACTTAACTATAATATTACAATAAACTTAACTAAATATAATAACTAGTTGGTTTGGTATTTAGCCTTGAGGCAAGTTACATGAACTTCCCGAAATGTGTAAATAATCGACTTAATCAAAAAAAATGTGTAAATAATATACTTCATTAATCCTACTTTAAAAAAAACTATAATAATTTTAGCAAACTTTGACGAATTTTTAAAATTAAACTACTTGTTGTAAGGCCGTAATATTACAGTAAGTTCTATAAGACCATGATGTATATCGCCAAAAAAAGTTTCATGAAAAACGGCTTAATTTTTTTTTAACAGTTAATTACAAGAAAACGGCTCGGTAGATTTTCACCTAAAATTAATCAGCATCATTCCCAACTAATATCTTTCGAACAGTTTTTGATATTTTAAAATCGGTTCGGTAGGATGAGCTTAAATGTCGACGAAAATTTAACACTTTTTTTCAACAGTTAATTACAAGAAAACGGCTCGGTAGATTTTCACCTAAAATTAATCAGCATCATTCCCAACTAATATCTTTCGAACAGTTTTTGATTTTTCAAAATCGGTTCGGTAGGATGAGCTTAAATGTCGACGAAAATTTAACACTTTTTTTCAACAGTTAATTACAAGAAAACGACTCGGTAGATTTTCACCTAAAATTAATCAGCATCATTCCCAACTAATATCTTTCGAACAGTTTTTGATTTTTCAAAATCGGTTCGGTAGGATGAGCTTAAATGTCGACGAAAATTTAACACTTTTTTTCAACAGTTAATTACAAGAAAACGGCTCGGTAGATTTTCACCTAAAATTAATCAGCATCATTCCCAACTAATATCTTTCGAACAGTTTTTGATTTTTTAAAATCGGTTCGGTAGGATGAGCTTAAATATGTACGAAAAGTTTTTTCGAATTACAAAGAAACGGCTTGTCAGATCATTGCACAAAACTGACAAACGATAGTCCTCACCGAAATACATCAAATGGCTTTTAAATTTCTAAAATCGGTTCAGGCGTTTTTGAGAAAACGTCGATCAAAAGTCTAATTTTGACAAATGCCAAAAAGACCATACTGATTTTTGCAAACTTTGACGAATTTTTAAAGCTGAACCAGTTGTCGTAGGGCCGTAATATTTTAGTATGACCTAGAAAACTATGGTATCTTTCGTCAAAAAAATAATCATAAAAATCGTCAAATTTTTTTTTTAAAAAACTTTATTACAAGAAAACGGCCCGGCCGATCTCTACCAAAAACTAATCAGCACGATTCCCAACCAATATCTTTCGAACGGTTTTTGAATTTTCAAAATCGATTCAGAATTGCGGGCTAAAACGTAGACGAAAAATTTTTCACTTTTCTGCCATTTATAAAGAAACGGCTTGGCCGATCGTCGCACAAAACTGACAAACAATAGTTCTCGTCGAGATACATCGAATGGCTTTTAAATTTTTGAAATCGACCCAGCCGTTTTCGAGAAAACGTCGATTTACGGCAAAAAATCTGTTGGTGCACACGCACACACACACATACACACACACACACACACACACACACACATACTTTTTCCAAATTTGGTCTCATTCGATTCAGAATGGCTTGAAACGTCGAGAAAACATAAAATTAGCGAATCGGATTTTTTGATGAAAACATAAACTTCTCCTTCGGGAAGTTAATAATATAAATATAAAATAATACAACATATTTTTCTTAACTTCGGTTATTGGCCATGATTCCAAATCCGATATTCCACTCAGCATATATTCTCCTATTAAAGATGATTTGCATGGATGATCATGCAAATCATCTTTAATTTTAAACTCTTTTCCAATGACTACCAGTTTCTGTCTTGGTTACTGCCTTTACATTTTTCTCTATAAAGTGCTCTTTTACCTCAAAATACCTCTTGTAAATTTGTTGCACTGGTTTATCTGACTTTTGTATAAACTTCTTCAACACTATATTCATGAGAAGATGTCGCTCCAAAATCATTCTGATTACATGCTAAAACTAAAATATTTACATATTTTTCTATTATCTTTACTATTAAATAATTAGATAAAATTTAATTTATAATTACCTTGATCGTGATGATCATTAAATTGCATTCCAAAATCATCCTGAGTACTGACACTTGTTGAAATTTCAACATGATGAACAGCACTATCATTTACACTGGAAAGAGTCAATTCTTTCTTTTTTTCCGCGGTTATTCTTTCGAATTCCCACTTCACCCTCCTTCTAAAATGTCGGTCTGTCACAAAGCCAATAGATTTGCGAAACTTTCTAGTCGACATATTTATATGGAGTTTTTTTTAGAAAAATAAATCAACAACATCACGTATAAATAAACCAAGCCAAGCGCGAATTTAAAATGGCGCTCATCTACCTGGCATCTTGCTCGATCCACGTCTACGTATGCGCACTAGCTACTGCGCATGCGCACTATCTATCGCGCATGCGTCATAAGTCTGGACCAAAAATGAACCTATTTGGTTAAACCTGGTTGAACCAGAAAGGTCAAATTTCAGATAAACCCACTGACGGTCAAATAATGTGCCAGTTTTGATCGATGTTAACCTAGCGGGTTCAAAATGGGCTAAAGCGGTGCGACCGCGGTTCGACGCGTGCTATGTGGGATACATAACAACGTTTGCCACAATATAATGGAGTTAAATCGTCTATTAAAGGATTATTAGACCTCCGCACCCAAATTGAAAACATGTAAAACATTTTCGTTATATTTTTATTATACAAATTTATTATATAAACACAATACATCATTATATACATACCTGATCATTAGATGCCGGAAAGACATGCAACTTTATATTATTTCTGGAGTTACCACAATTTGGTACACTGCACTTTGCCATATTAATTTAATAATTATCCCTTGAACACAATTAATTATAAATAAAATACTTCACAACGTAAATAAATTCTTCACTACGGCTTCACTATATAAGAAGATAATGGCGATTAATTTCCGCTGGTTTTTCCCAAAACAAACAAACGATTTGTCGTGCAGCCATCTATTTTCTTTTCGATTAATGAGATTGAAACAAGTAGCGACATCTTTTTTTCGCTAAAAATATTAATCCTCGCCAAAACAGTGTAACATTTGTTCGGAGATAACTCCCCATGATAATAGCTGTCTAAAAACACGTTTGAGCTGACTACTGCGTCGCGCCAATTTTTGAATAAGGTGTCAATGTCATAAATGTCATTTCGTCCGTATTACTCCTACTTCAAGTTGCATTTCTTAGTCTCCATACAGCACGATAAAAATGGGGCGATTTGTACCAACTCTGAGTCTGTCATGGCACCCTAGATAAATAAGCATAAAGATAAATGCATAGCACGGTTTCCATACTGCACTATGTAAGGTTCCATAGAACGCATTACGAATTAGCCTGAATTGTATGTTAAATACGAGGTTTTTATAGCACGGTCCCCATCATGGCCGGTAATCTCCGAACAAATGTAGATTACCATGGCCGGTAATCTCCGAACAAATGTAGATTACCGCATGGCCGGTAATCTCCGAACAAAACTCTGTAGCTCGATTTTAGTTAGAGCTGCTCTCCCTTGGAGCGCTCTTGCAGCGATTTGGCACTCATCTGGTAAGAATTTCAACGCGGGCAATCAAACGATTTCGAGAACAATAAGTAAGTAAGTAAGCAACAATAAGTAAGTATTTTTATCAATATGCATACTTCAAAATACTTGCATCTATTACTACTAGTCAGACATAAGTTTTTATTATAGCATAATAATTGAGACATTTAACAATGCTAGGAATTTTAAGGTTATAGTTATTGAAAGATAAAATTGCCGTCAGACTAACCAACTCACCGATAGGTAAGTTTTTAAGAATTATTCTTGTACTAATAATAAATGTTTGTAATAAATAATTTAACATTGATTTTTTTCAGCAGTTTTTCTCTTGGAAGTAGTTATGTAACGGGTTTACTAAACACAAGTATTGATATGAGACGAATAAACAGGGAAAAACATTAATAAAGAAATTGCAAGCCAGTCTGAAACATGCTGAAATATTTGCTGATCTTCCACTGGCATTGAATAATAGTATTCATAATGATATATTATGTCGGCTAAGAGAAGATACTGAATTATTAAATTGAAGGAAATTCATGCTTAATGATAAAATTCTAGCTAAGGGGTAATTTAGGTTTGGCTATGTTTCACGAAAAGTTTATGAGTAGTGATAGTTGCATTTTGATATTACACAGAAATATTATTATCTGCGTTGTTTAATGATCGTAAAAATAATTACATTGTACAGATTGACAGGAACTGTCAAATGGAAGAAAGTATATATTTGCTAATCTCTTTTTTATTTAGAGGAATAAAACACCATTAACGTGCACCCCTTATTTCTGATAGAGATATTATTCTTAAATGTGTTATTGAAGATGCCATAAGAAAACTATTAAGTACTTGTACATTACTATTAATAATTTCCTTTTGTATGTTAATGATGATAATGACATTTTGTTCAATATTCAAATGAACATCAACACTAGTCGTAGAAAATATTAACAGAAACAAAACAGTAACTTAATTGTTAATTCGCATTATTCGAAAAAAATATAAACTGAGTTACTTGAGAGGATTATCGTATGCATTAATTTTGCAAATGATTTTTAAATATATATATATATCTCACTTTTTTATATGAATATAATTATTTTTCTCTCTTTAGTTTCTAGAAATTTTGTTGCTTTTGCGAATAATGAAAGAGATCCGATAGTTTCTCAAATTTTTTGATTTATTTATTATTGAGATCGAATTATGAGATGTGTTTAAATTATTTATCTTAATCTAATTGTAATTATAAGTAATCTTTGCTCTAGAAATATAAATAAATATACCTATAATTATATATATATATATATATATATATATATATATATATATATATTATATATACATTTCTATTTCTTTTGTGTTTAGCTTATAAGGATGAATCTTTTGTAACCATGTGTGTAAAATACTATTGTTAAAAATAAATACTTTTTAAAATTTAATTTCTTTTTTTTTTAATTTTGAATTCAAACGGTCTATAATATTGGTGCATTCCTATAGTATTTTTTGTACGCACCCGTTCTACGATCTACGCGTGCGCACCAAGGGAGAGCAGCTCGAACTAACCCCGGCAAGTTGACAGTTAACGTGGCAACGAAATATGCCCCGAGAGAGCGATCTATATACTCTTCTTTTATCTATGGATTTCCGTGTTTTGAAATGGATTGGTATTTGAATAGTTCGAAGGATGGCGCTACGATTTACAATTTCATTGATCTAGCAGCTAGCTTGATCTACATTGATTTGATCGGCCATTTTCTATAAGTTGTCAAGTTGTCATCGCGTATTGTAGTTGAGATGTGTTATATTTGTTTTTCTGTGATTGTTTATGTATAATTATGTTTTGGTGAATACTTTTTTCATTTATTAATAAGTTAAAATGGTAAAGTGTAATGTGCCAAATTGTTATAACTCCAAATATAATAAAAAATGCATGTCTTTCCGGCATCTAATTATCAGGTATGTATATAATGATGTATTATGCATATAATGAATATGTATCATGAAAATACTATTAAAATGTTATATATATATATTCTGTAATCACAAATATAATTTATTATTTATTGTTTTTATTAAAGCACTACGTGCTATTTGAAGGTTATCCGAAGTTCTTCCGACCTTGCTGTTAGATTTTGGAATCACGTTTTGTATTCAATTATTTAGTATATAAGAAGTAGTTAAGATTTAGTTAAGCGGTCAGAAGTGAGGACTCAAGTCAGAAGTCAGGACTCAAGTCAGGCTTACTGTTGGGATACTTAAAAATGTAGTCTCTGATTATTGATAACCAAAAGGTTATCAACAAATTATTTAATTGTGAAAATAGTAAACAATAAAATATCAAGATCAACCAAGAACCAGTGTTTTTATATTATCAACCGCTCAGCTCCAGCTACCAAACAACCTCCCATAATCTCAGGTGTAATCCAAACAACCACACAATTACAGTTCATGGTGGCTTAGCGGAAATTTTCCCTCGCAGTGCTGAAGAATTTTCATCTGGGGACATCGAGTTAAATAGCCGCCACAACTTGGTAAACCGGAGGAATATTCGCGGCACAACTTGGGGGATGGTGGCGCCTACCGAAGAGAACAAATTTTGGAACAACAGAGACTACGACTGGATTGAACAATAATTCATCGGATTTACAATAAGCAAATTGGACAACATCACTCTCTCAAGATGGAACCCATTTCTTCAGGATTTATGCAAGATGTTGAGTATAGTGAGGCAATAAGAGAAATCAGAATCAAGGCAGCTGTTGAAAGTATACCTCAATTTGATGGTAATTCATATAATCTCTTTAGATATATAAGCATAGTAGATTCAATTTTAGAAGACGTTAATTTTGAAACATATGAAATAATATCTAAAATTTCTCTTAGTAGATTATATGGATCAGCATTTAATTGCATAAGGTGGTCTGATTATAAGTTATGGGAAGATATTAAACCAATTTTAATTAATAAATTTAAAGATTCCCGATCAATTACAGATTTGCAATATGAATTAGCTACAGTGAAAAAAAGAAATGAGGAACCAACGGAGAAATTTGCTGAGAGAATTGATGATCTGCTAATGTTAATTTATATTGAATGTTATTTTTCAAAAAAGGAAACAATTTATGCCTCATATTGCGATTTAGCTCTAGCTGTTTTCATTGAAGGCCTCCAGTTGGAAATAAAAACTATTGTCAAAGGAGCCAAACCAAAAAATCTTGAGGAAGCTAAGAATATTGCCATCAAAGAGGAGAAGTATTTAAATATCACCTATGGCAAACAATATAACCGCTACGTTGTGTGTAGATATTGCAGGAAAAGAGGACACCACATTTCAAAATGTGAAAAAATTCGCCAAAAATCAATATATGAGGAAAAAACTATTTTCAGACAAAATGAAATTTTTGAAGATATTAACCAAGGCGAACACAACGATAGCTACGATGCTTTGAACTATGAAAATACTATGATTTTAGAAAATACAAGAAAATATGACGGCATAGACAACACATTCAAATCTACCGAAGAAGAATCAGAAGAATACACAGTCGAAAATCTGACTCAAAACACTGAAACCGAAGAATTGACGACAATTGCTGCAGAAATATTAGATGAAGATGAAGATGAAGAAAATTTGAACATGTGATCCAAACAACCACACAATTACAGTTCAATATATATATAG